ACCCCACCAGCCCCGCGCGGGTTAACCAACGATGCATTAAATGCGACACTCGACAGATAACTCGCGCCCCGCTAGGCTATTCAGCCATACGCGCCCTGCTGGGGGGGGGGCAGATTCTGCCCCCCTTTCTAACTTCCGAACCGATGGTCGTAGATAGACGGGGAAAACGGCAACCGAAAGATCTCAACAAGGCGGATCTAAAGAGCCCATTTTTTTTGCTTAAGTAGGTCAGAAGTCAGGTCAAGGTCAGGTCAAGGTAACAAAATGCAAGTTTCTACATTATCGGCCTTGCACCGAAGTTGCCTAAGAATGGACTGAGACTGATTGCCCAAAAGGTGTTCTTAGGCTACCAAGACAATATCCGTTGCATACAATATCATTCAAAGGTCAAGGTTAAGGTCAGGTCAGGTCAGGTCAGGTCACCAAAAACAAAATATAGAAAAGGGCATGTGCGACACATGTTTTATGGGTCATTTTATTCATAGAATTCAATAGGCACACTCAATAAGTGATATGGACCACCTCTGGATGAATTTCAGGTCGAAATCAGGTCAAGGTCAGGTCAAGTGAGGTCAAATTTTGAAGTTGGTTTTTAAGGCCTAAAAAGGTGTTTATCTGATGTAGTTTTTCACGGCAAATCGAATGGTGCTATTTTTGTTTCCGTACGAGGTCTAGAACTTCCAATAAAATCATTTTTCAAAATTTTTGTTGTCGTGACGTCATAAAATTTTGAATAACTCCCACATTTTTAAACCGATTCTTCTAAAAATTGGTATGTAGGTGCACATAGACCACTTCTCTGACATATATTCCGGTTTTTTCGATACACCCAAAATTTTGGTTTTTATAATTATTTTCCCAAAAAAGTCAGTTTAAAAAAAAAGAAATTGGGCCAAAATCCAAAATTTTCAAAAAAACCGAGATAGCCATTTGATAGACAAAGTAGAATTACGTATAACCTTTTTTGTTAGTCTTGATTCCTTTAAAAATGAAGATGTTAGCGGCGTTTGAAATTTTGCCGTTTTTGAGGCGAAAATGGCGAACATGACGTCACTAAAACGTCAATTTCTCAAAAAATTTCCGACGGATTTCGCTCAAATTTTCAGGGAACGTGTCAAATTGATGTAAGAAAAGGTACTGAGAGTTTGGCGGCGCTGCGCGCCGCCGTTTTTGAGATATTGCAAAAATTCGCGAGGGGGGGTAAAATTTACCCCACCAGCCCCGCGCGGGTTAACCAACGATGCATTAAATGCGACACTCGACAGATAACTCGCGCCCCGCTAGGCTATTCAGCCATACGCGCCCTGCTGGGGGGGGGGCAGATTCTGCCCCCTTTCTAACTTCCGAACCGATGGTCGTAGAAAGACGGGGAAAACGGCAACCGAAAGATCTCAACAAGGCAGATCTAAAGAGCCCATTTTTTTGCTTAAGTAGGTCAGAAGTCAGGTCAAGGTCAGGTCAAGGTAACAAAATGCAAGTTTCTACATTATCGGCCTTGCACCGAAGTTGCCTAAGAATGGACTGAGACTGATTGCCCAAAAGGTGTTCTTAGGCTACCAAGACAATATCCGTTGCATACAATATCATTCAAAGGTCAAGGTTAAGGTCAGATCAGGTCAGGTCAGGTCACCAAAAACAAAATATAGAAAAGGGCATGTGCGACGCATGTTTTATGGGTCATTTTTTTCATAGAATTCAATAGGCACACTCAATAAGTGATATGGACCACCTCTGGATGAATTTCAGGTCGAAATCAGGTCAAGGACAGGTCAAGTGAGGTCAAATTTTGATGTTGGTTTTTAAGGCCTAAAAAGGTGTTTATCTGATGTAGTTTTTCACGGCAAATCGAATGGTGCTATTTTTGTTTCCGTACGAGGTCTAGAACTTCCAATAAAATCATTTTTCAAAATTTTTGTTGTCGTGACGTCATAAAATTTTGAATAACTCCCACATTTTTAAACCGATTCTTCTAAAAATTGGTATGTAGGTGCACATAGACCACTTCTCTGACATATATTCCGGTTTTTTCGATACACCCAAAATTTTGGTTTTTATAATTATTTTCCCAAAAAAGTCAGTTTAAAAAAAAAGAAATTGGGCCAAAATCCAAAATTTTCAAAAAAACCGAGATAGCCATTTGATAGACAAAGTAGAATTACGTATAACCTTTTTTGTTAGTCTTGATTCCTTTAAAAATGAAGATGTTAGCGGCGTTTGAAATTTTGCCGTTTTTGAGGCGAAAATGGCGAACATGACGTCACTAAAACGTCAATTTCTCAAAAAATTTCCGACGGATTTCGCTCAAATTTTCAGGGAACGTGTCAAATTGATGTAAGAAAAGGTACTGAGAGTTTGGCGGCGCTGCGCGCCGCCGTTTTTGAGATATTGCAAAAATTCGCGAGGGGGGGTAAAATTTACCCCACCAGCCCCGCGCGGGTTAACCAACGATGCATTAAATGCGACACTCGACAGATAACTCGCGCCCCGCTAGGCTATTCAGCCATACGCGCCCTGCTGGGGGGGGCAGATTCTGCCCCCTTTCTAACTTCCGAACCGATGGTCGTAGAAAGACGGGGAAAACGGCAACCGAAAGATCTCAACAAGGCAGATCTAAAGAGCCCATTTTTTTGCTTAAGTAGGTCAGAAGTCAGGTCAAGGTCAGGTCAAGGTAACAAAATGCAAGTTTCTACATTATCGGCCTTGCACCGAAGTTGCCTAAGAATGGACTGAGACTGATTGCCCAAAAGGTGTTCTTAGGCTACCAAAACAATATCCGTTGCATACAATATCATTCAAAGGTCAAGGTTAAGGTCAGATCAGGTCAGGTCAGGTCACCAAAAACAAAATATAGAAAAGGGCATGTGCGACGCATGTTTTATGGGTCATTTTTTTCATAGAATTCAATAGGCACACTCAATAAGTGATATGGACCACCTCTGGATGAATTTCAGGTCGAAATCAGGTCAAGGACAGGTCAAGTGAGGTCAAATTTTGATGTTGGTTTTTAAGGCCTAAAAAGGTGTTTATCTGATGTAGTTTTTCACGGCAAATCGAATGGTGCTATTTTTGTTTCCGTACGAGGTCTAGAACTTCCAAAAAATCATTTTTCAAAAATTTTGTTTGTCGTGACGTCATAAAATTTTGAATAACTCCCACATTTTTCAACCGATTCTTCTGAAAATTGGTATGTAGGTGCACATAGACCACTTCTCTAACATATATTCCGATTTTTTCGATATACACAAAATTTTGGATTTTATAATTATTTTCCCAGAAAAGTCAGTTAAAAAAAAATGCGCCAAAATCCAAAATTTTCAAAAAAGCGAGGTAGCCATTTGATAGACAAAGTAGAATCACGTATAACTTTTTTGTTACGTCTTGATTCCTTTAAAAATGAAGATGTTAGCGGCGTTTGAAATTTTGCCGTTTTTGAGGCGAAAATGGCGAACATGACGTCACTAAAACGTCATTTTCTCAAACAATTTCCGACAGATTTCGCTCAAATTTTCAGGAAACGTGTCAAATTGATGTATGATAAGGTACTGAAAGTTTGACGTCTCTGGCTTAACGCGTTTAGAAGTTATTGGCGAAAAACGGGAGGGGGCAGATTCTGCCCCCCCCCCCCAGCGGGGCGCGGGATAACTCCGAAACGCACCATTATCAACTATTGAACGGGCCTCGCCGATAGGGGGGGGGGGGTACTGTACCCCTCTAACTTTCAAAAGCGGGGGACTGGGAATTCGCGATATACTTCATACCTTCCTGACTGAACCGAACGACAAAGTATTGTGTCAGGTCAGGCATAAGTAGGTCAGAAGTCAAGTCAAGGTCAGGTCAAGGTAACAAAATGCAAGTTCCTACATTATCGGCCTTGCACCGAAGTTGCCTAAGAATGGACTGAGACTGATTGCCCAAAACGTGTTCTTAGGCTACCAAGACAATATTCGTTGCATACAATATCATTCAAAGGTCAAGGTCAGGTCCTCGTATTCTCGTCATTTTCGTGTTAGACTGCTGGGCGAGAAAAGAGCGCCGGGAGATTATACATACTCGCAGCTCGCAGCCCTAGGTGGTGAAGTGGTTGCGCAGTGACCAAATGAGGCGGGCGGATAACTATATGGACAACAAAACTAATGTTTACCAAGTGTCTCAAACTAAAAAGTGTACTTCCATGAAGTGCTTGTTAAAATTATGTCCGTTCATTTAACAAAAGAAGGAATGAGGAAGTGGAAAGGGGAAGCAAATTCTCTTTCAAAAGTATTTAAATGTCATGATTGCAGCCCAACAAGCATGTAATACCTATATATAATCGCAATATGCTTGATACCTTTCCTGACTGAACCGAACGACAGAGTATTGTGTCAGGTCAGGCATACCTGGTCTCGTGTTATCGTCATTTTCGTTAGACTGTTGGAACAGGTAAGTGTTCGGCGGTCGTTACACTGAGAAAAAAGTGAGAACACATAGCCTTCTCTGAGACCCGTACCCCTTCTCATTTTCCCTATTCAAATCAGATCACACGTTTTAAGTCCTTTTCCCGGTTAAGCCGGGAGAGAAGTGGATAGAGACAGAAGGGCGCGAGAAGGTCAGGAGGGCGCCGTTAGACCATGAGAAGGGCGCAGTGCTATCAAAAGGGCACCATTCTCCCAGAAGGGCGACAGGTAATTAAAAATGTTATATGATCTACGGTCGCAGAGAGGTCAGAAGGGCGCCACGCAGTCAGTAATGCTAAGCTGGTGGGGACGTAGGGGCGCCAGACGGTTACGAGGGCGCCGTGAGACCATGAAAAGGGCGCCATTCTCCTGGAAGGGTGCCGAGTGGTTGAAAACGTCATGTGGTCCAGGGGTGCTGAGAGGCCCGAAGGTCGCCGAACAATCGAGGGATGCATGGTGGACAGAGAAATAAGGTCGCAAGACGCCGACGGTCAGGAGGGCGCCATTAGACCATTAGAATGGCGCAATGCTGTCAAAAGGGCGCCAGTCTCCCAAAAGAGCGCCGAGTGATTAAAAACGCTATATTATCCAGGAACGCGAGACGGTCAGGGCGACGCCGTTGGAGCATGCGAAAGGCACCGTGCTCCCGAAAGGACGCTTGTTAAAGACTTGTGGGTGCATTTTCATCATTGTGCCGGGACATAATTCAGGATTGTGGGTACATACATCTGCCCTCACAAAGAGATATACCTAAAATTACACCCATTTAAAAGGTTTAGTGTCAGCCTGACCTGACCACATGCTTGTCGTGGCGTCATAACATCGATGTTAACCTCACCAAATTATTATTAGTCAGTCAAAACTATGTATAGCGACCACTGAAGTAGCAACGCATGCCAGGGGCTGCTTAGTCTAAGTGAATGCTGCAACCTACGACTTACGTGACATAGGTACCTACATTAACCCACCCATGCACATATGTACCTACAACACAGTTAATAAGCCATTGTTCGCTAGTAATCGTTGCGCAGTCCGTTGCAGTCTGTTCACGGGGGTGGCGGGGGGGGGAGACAGGGCACAGTACAATCTTCTTCTCCTCCCAGACTACAATGTGTAAAATTGTGCTTCCGCGCCCCCATGGCGTTTCAGCCGCTCCTACGCCCGCGTATTTACATGCGAGTGCGCCGGCCGCTTCTGATTCCGGTCTCAGTTGCACCTGCTGCCGTTAATATCAGCGCAGTGCCGCAGTCATTCAGGTGTGGACGGTCGGCAGTGCAGTTTACTAAGGCACGAGCTCCTGTGGTGACGTCAGTGGCAACACCACACAACACCTCGGCAGCCGGGACCATCGGAAGCTATCGATCAGGTCAGATGACGCCAGGTGTCCTAGCCAGTCAGATTTTCTGCGGTGCTCTACCACAGGCCCACAGCTCCGAGACTGAGCCGACATAGCGCCGTGTCCATTGGCGTCGGATGGGTCGTTCCAAGGTCGTGTAAGGTCGTTCCTTAGACCGGTAAGGTCCGAGCGCAGTAGAGCAGCTATAGTTGAATGATGCCTTCACACGATGACTTTGAGCTCGTCGCTTCGGTAAAAGTCTGTGAACCCGACGTAGAGGCCGTACGCCATGTTGGCCAGAATAGCGACCAGCACGATAGCGAAAGTCACGCGGAGACACAGTGACAGAGCCTGGCCCAGTGACGTCATCATCGGTGGCGTCACTGGTTTGTTGCCAGGGAGACCTGAGATGAGATGCCCAGCCTGCAACATAAGAATGCACGCGTTTAGCTAAGTTTTCAGTCAGTTTCAGAATTTCTCTTTAACCCTATTAGTGGCAGGCTCCTGGCTACCCCATATTAGTGTCAGGGGGGGCTGTTTACGACCCCCCTTGATATCTCGAGATCTAACCGGCCGATTTTCAAAATTCAAACGGCATTCGATTTGGCTCAACGAGATCTACATTTCTAAAAAAATAAAATTAAAAAATGTCAATAGGGGGGTAGAGGGGGGTAAAAACGGGCAAATTGCAGATACATTTTAGACTGTTTATCACGGCCAGGTTTCTGAACCAATCTTAACGCAACTTTTGCCGATCGATAGAGAATGAACCAGGAATTCACATGGATCCTAAAAATATGCATTTTCAAAAATCATAGGCGGATACAGATCATTGAGATTGGGGTACACAAAAAGTGTAGTAAATAAGGTTTTTGTTGGTACTGCTTCTAAAAACGGTGGCAATGGTCTTGTTATGTTACAATTTTCTTATGAGAGAACGACTAAAATTGTATTGGTCATGCATAGGCGGTGTCAGGGCACCTATGTTGGGAGGTAAAAAATAACCCCCCTTTTTGGACGCCTGGATCCGCCTATTATAGCAAAAACGTGTCAAAAGAGGATGCACAATAACTTTGTATATGTTATCACATGATACCTTTCATTCACTGTTCGTAAAACTGGTGCAGCATCGTGATCTTCGCCCAAATGACTCGCTTCACGAATAGGACCCCCAATTCCCAGTGCTCTGGAGCCGCCCCTGGTAAAGTTATGAACTTGAAATTTTCAGGGAATGTGCCCAATTTAGTTTTAGGAAAAGTCAGAAAATTTCAGCATCGTAGCTTCAGCGGTTTCGGAGATATTCCCGAAAAACCTGAGGGGTGGATAAAAACAACCCCCCCCCCCTGCCACTAATAGGGTTAATGGATCAATCCATCAATCAATCAGTCAATCAATCAATCAATCAATCAATCAATCAATCAGTCGGCTTAAGTTTTTTAAAAACATTTTTTCACTCAAAACTTCGAAATTATTAACCCGCGCATAACTGGGGGAGGGGGGGGGGGGCTCTACAGTGCCCTCTTCCCATTTCTCAGCAATATCTTCCAAACTGTTTGACGTATCAACACAAAACTGGCGGTACATTTAGCGCCATCAATTAGACACCTTGTATGACATTCTTAACTTTCTAGCTACTATAGATCAGCTGAAAACGACGTCAGAGTGACGTAATGTCGGCCGATTTTATGCAATAACTACATTGAACTACGGCAATCGCTGTCAAGAGCTCAGCTGTTAAGCTAGATCTAATTTCTTTGCATGGGTAGACTGAGAATGAACGTGGCTATCAAACTGCTATCTCGGATTTTCCAAATTTTGAGAATTTAAAAGAAAATATGTATACCTATACAATTATAAAAAGTATATTTTTGATTTTTTAAAGTGTTTGAATATTTTGAAAGAAAGACAGATTATAGGTATGTAATAGACCACCCATCGATGACCTAATCCAGAAATTTTTAGCCCAATATCTTTGAAAAATGGCTAAGTCATACGCATTATCGTAAAAATTTCACAAATCAAGAATTTTCACATCCATTTTTCAGTACGTTATTCACATCGTATAGCAATATAAATAGCGTCATCGTGTTCCTGAGCTAAAATCGCATCTAATTGGCACCTTTTTTGTTTAAAAAAAAATATATTTTCAAAATTTGACCTTTTTTATCTGAAAATAACTTGACCTCAGGAAAATGCATCTGAAAATGACTTAAAATGACACAGACGACATTGTTTTCGAAATCTTTGAGTAAAATGGACCATAAATCATGCGTAACGTGACCGATACATGATATAAAATTTCTGTGACCTAGGATGACCTGGCCTTGACCTTAGAAACGAAGTACAAGTTCGGTGCCCTCAGGGTATCTTAGGCATATATCAAGCAGTGCGTAAACCAAAAATGAGCCTGATCGGACTTGTAAGCCGGCGTGCTCATAATTCTTACTTTGACCTGACCTGTGACGTCATCGGCGGCCTCAAGGTAAATGAACTTAGGTTTCGTGAGATGATGTTTTTCGTACTCCAGCGTAGATGGGTAGCCATACGGCTTCCACGGTTGACAGTGATGACATCAGTCATCTTTTGCAAACTCGTTAAAGATTTGGGCTGTACGGGGATTCCAACCCCGGGCCTTTGGATTAGCGCTCCAATGCTCTACCTCTGAGCTATACAGACCAAGTACTTCAACGAGCTTTCTGCCAAGTTTTATGCGGATCATTCTTAGGTGTTGTTTTTATCCGTATGGAAGCCGTATGGCTACCCATCTACGCTGGAGTACGAAAAACATCATCTCACGCTCTCAGTCCCAGCGGATAAAAACAACACCTAAGAATGATCCGCATAAAACTTGGCAGAAAGCTCGTTGAAGTACTTGGTCTGTATAGCTCAGAGGTAGAGCATTGGAGCGCTAATCCAAAGGCCCGGGGTTCGAATCCCCGTACAGCCCAAATCTTTAACGAGTTTGCAAAAGATGACTGATGTCATCACTGTCAACCGTGGAAGCCGTATGGCTACCCATCTACGCTGGAGTACGAAAAACATCATCTCACGCTCTCAGTCCCAGCGGATAAAAACAACACCTAAGAATGATCCGCATAAAACTTGGCAGAAAGCTCGTTGAAGTACTTGGTCTGTATAGCTCAGAGGTAGAGCATTGGAGCGCTAATCCAAAGGCCCGGGGTTCGAATCCCCGTACAGCCCAAATCTTTAACGAGTTTGCAAAAGATGACTGATGTCATCACTGTCAACCGTGGAAGCCGTATGGCTACCCATCTACGCTGGAGTACGAAAAACATCTCACGCTCTCAGTCCCAGCGGATAAAAACAACACCTAAGAATGATCCGCATAAAGCTTGGCAGAAAGCTCGTTGAAGTACTTGGTCTGTATAGCTCAGAGGTAGAGCATTGGAGCGCTAATCCAAAGGCCCGGGGTTCGAATCCCCGTACAGCCCAAATCTTTAACGAGTTTGCAAAAGATGACTGATGTCATCACTGTCAACCGTGGAAGCCGTATGGCTACCCATCTACGCTGGAGTACGAAAAACATCATCTCACGCTCTCAGTCCCAGCGGATAAAAACAACACCTAAGAATGATCCGCATAAAACATGGCAGAAAGCTCGTTGAAGTACTTGGTCTGTATAGCTCAGAGGTAGAGCATTGGAGCGCTAATCCAAAGGCCCGGGGTTCGAATCCCCGTACAGCCCAAATCTTTAACGAGTTTGCAAAAGATGACTGATGTCATCACTGTCAACCATGGAAGCCGTATGGCTACCCATCTACGCTGGAGTACGAAAAACATCTCACGCTCTCAGTCCCAGCGGATAAAAACAACACCTAAGAATGATCCGCATAAAACTTGGCAGAAAGCTCGTTGAAGTACTTGGTCTGTATAGCTCAGAGGTAGAGCATTGGAGCGCTAATCCAAAGGCCCGGGGTTCGAATCCCCGTACAGCCCAAATCTTTAACGAGTTTGCAAAAGATGACTGATGTCATCACTGTCAACCGTGGAAGCCGTATGGCTACCCATCTACGCTGGAGTACGAAAAACATCATCTCACGCTCTCAGTCCCAGCGGATAAAAACAACACCTAAGAACTTAGGTTTCCTTCGACAGTTTTTCCAGGGCTATCAGACCCCGCTTTAGTTTTGACAATCGGCTCAGTAGTTTCGGAGATAGGAGGGGCTCTGTAGGCCCCCCCCCCTCCCTGTCACTCGCGTTATGGAAAGTACCGCAGTCATGCGCGGGTTAAGCGTAGAATAAGATGGCTGAGGATCCAATCTTGAGTCATTCTTTCCAGAATTCCTCATTTACAAATGGTGACCCTCTAAATTCCCATCTGTCTTCTATCGCTCATTATCATTATTGAATAGTTTTCCTATTGGCCTTGTAGGCTTAGCACTAACTAGATAAGGGAGGTCGGGGTAATTTGGCCGCTTTTTTACAAAACGATATAACTTAACCTTCGCCCCAGTGGGGGGGGGGGGGGCATATGTTACCACCCTGTCGCGTTTTTTGCGTGTGAATAAAAAACCGCGGCGCGTAGCGCCGCGCAGCTTAGGGTAGCTTTTGGTACATCAATTTTGGACAATATGTGAAATTTTTGACCCCAGGTCATGTCAGGTCAGGTCACCAGGTCAAGTTAACTGACCAAGCCTAAAAAAGTTTGCAATCATGTCCAGCCTGCAGTGTTTGTCAGAAAGGTTTTAAACTTGGTGGATTGCATGCTGTTATGGGCGCCTACAATTTGTATATCTCGGATTTTTTTATATCCGTGACCTAAGGTCAGGTCAGTGGCGTGACCTTTCCATTACAAGTCAATGAAGAAAAATGAAAATGCCTCTAGATCCGTGTGTACGCATAGGAACAGTCCAAATATCTCAGAATCACAATGATTTAGTCCACTCGTGATGACCAAGGTGTCATATTTGCTGATAGCCTCTAGAAAGGTCATCGGAGGTCAGGCTACAAACAGTTTTTTGCCAATAACTCGCGATTGGAAAGAGATAGAACGCTGGGGATGGTCTCATTGTGTTTGTCTTGTTGAGACGCATCGACTGATATGCAACATGACCTTTTCCGGTCAGGTCATGACCTTGACCTGAGGTCAAATTTTCAAGTTGACCTTTCAAGGTCAAAGTATAGTTCATTCGACGCGTCTCAGCGAGGGGAACACGATTCTGGCAATAGAAATGTCGTGGCTTTTTGTAGTCGAAAGTTATTGTCGAAAACACTTTTCGTAAAAACAGCTATTTTTGGAGTTTTTGCCCTCTGGAGGCTAAACCGTTGACCTGAGGTCAATATTGATAATGTCCTTTTCAAAAGAAGAGTTCAAAAGCTATCGTTTGCTTTCCCATGCGTTTTTCTAGCTACCATAGTTCCTGAGACAGCGGCATGTTTTCTGAAAAATATAATGACAATTG